GAAGGATAGTAAGTAAACAGATAAACAAAGTTATTGATGGAGACACAAGAAACCGGAAATAATTTTGCAAGGCATTGTGGGTGAATAGATTTAGGAGTGATAAGTCTCTTAAAAAAAAAAAAAAAAAAAAAACATATTAAAGAATACACCTCTAATCAACTGTTCTATATACATTTTGTAAATTTAATCAGGGTAAATAATAAAATCAGTTTAACAAATAAGCCAAGATGGCATCGCTTGTATCTCATTGTAGCCTGTTAGCATATTAACCACAATGGGAGATTAAAGCAGGTTAGCAAACACAGAGGCTGGTTTGGCTGTTTCCAGCTCTGCTGCTGCTCGCAGAGGAATGTGATGGCAGCACCTGACAAGCACTGACAGCTTCCCATGTCATGCGACGTCCTGTAAGCAAAACTAACGGGCGGAAACAAAGGAAACACGTCCAAATGATAACGATCCCCGGCTGGTAGCATTACGGCTAATGAGCTTTAGACGGCAGAGAGCCAAGACAGATAAGGAACGGGTTACAATGGAGCAACAAACACGGTTTACTGTCTGTGAACTTGGAACTAGTCTGGTCAGATCCAACAAGACGACAGCAGTTTACCTAAATACACACAAACTATCACAGAGCACCTAAACTCCATCAGATTAACAGATTAAATCCAGTGAAGTAGATCAGAAAGTTGAAGCTCCCCTCCCCTCGCCAGGGGAAACTGTAAACTGTTTAGTCTTCTCCCTGCTGGATGTTCAGCTGTGCTCCCTCACCCCGAAAGAATATTTTTAGGTGCAGTCAAAGTCAGCTAGCTAACTGCCATTGTTAACGCATGAGCGATGTGTTTTCTGTTGTTTTTTGTTTGTTTGTAAGCACAACAGAAACTATAATACAACGCAGCCCCCGAGGATACGAAGGAGAAACTCAGAAACTCACCGACACCCGCTGCTGTTCTTCTGCACTGCAGGAGGATTAGCCTCTGTACCGCTCTGGTTAAACCTCCACTCACAAACAGCAGCGGTGCCTATGCTACGGTAAGCGATTAGGATATAAAGGATCCCAGCAGCCCGCTAATCAGGAGCGAGAAAATACGTGACGTAGTCAGCGGACACGCCTTCTAATAAGGAAGTACAGAGAACCGAGCGAAAGTTTTAAATATTAATATTAGATCATAAAGTTCAATTCAGTTTATTTATATAGCGCCAATTCACAACACATGTAATGTCTAGGCACTTTACAGTTCACCAGATCATACAGTCAAATTGATTGAAAGTTTTCTATCTAAGGAAAAGCAGTTGATTGCATCTGACTCCCTCATCAAGCATGCTTGTAGCGACAGTGGAGAAGAAAAACTCCCGTTTAACAGGAGGAAACCTCCAGCAGAACCAGGCTCAGTGTGAACGGGCACCTACTGAGGCCGACTGGGGTTCAAGGAGACAGAAGCAGAGATACAAAAAACAGCTGTAAAAGTCCAGGAAACACACAGCCAGGCAGACGACCTCTGAGCCAACTCCAATGTCAGAGGATGAAGAGAGCACATCCAGCCAGTCACAGTCAGAGAAACAGGACCCTCGAAAAACAGGCAGATCTCCAACATCTATAAACAAAGGTGTTTATGGCTGTAGCACAGCTGATATTTCTTTCCAGGGTGGTGTCACAGCCAAACAGGAACAGATGAGAGCGAAGCTACAATGAGAAAAGGCAGAGAGAGCATAACATTAGAGAGTAAGCTAACAGATTCTGCAGAGTGGAAGAATAGAGATAGAATGAAGCAAAATGATGAAAAAGGGGTCCCTATGTGCTCCAGAAGTCTAACCCTATAGCAGCATAACTATAGCGATAGCTCAGGATAATCTGAGCCCCTCTAACTATAAGATTGATCAAAAAGGAAAGTTTTAAGCCTACCCTTAAAAGTAGACAGTACTAATAATTACTCTTCTCAATTCAAATTAGGAACATTTCATCATTACTTTCAAAAATTATAAGCAGTTCATAATCAGGATTCATGAAAGGTAGATCAATTGACATAATAGGTTTGGCCTTGCACCTAATTGATTACAGTGATGAGGGTATGTTTTATTTCTAGATTTCCAAAAAGCATTTGATTCAGTGAAACACCATTTTATTTATAAAAACTCTTCAACATCTTGGGTTTGGAGAATATTTTTCCAAATATAATTAAGATGCTACACACAGATATAAATAGCTTATTCTCTCTACCTGAGGGTACATGTCTAAGATTTAACATAGGTAGAGGTATAAGACAAGGATGTAGTCTGTTTCCATTGTTGTTCATACATGTTCTTTTGAAAAGTGGGAAGGATTAACATAGATGGGAAAACAATTGCCAACTAGCAGATGACACAACACTATTCTTAAGAAATAAGGAGGAGGTACCCAACTGCCCCTACAAGTAGTGAAATCATTCACCCAGGCTTCTGGTTTACATCTAAATCTTAGAGAGTGTGAACTAAATGTTCATGATAGTTTAGAAAGGGTACTACTTAATATTCCTGTTATAAAGGAGGTTTGTTATCTAGGAATGGATATCCAAAGACTCCAGAGCAAATGTGGATAAATATTTCCAAATGCCAATTGGAAAATCAAAGACAATTTTAAATAACTGGTTGCAAAGAGATTTAACTTTGTTTGGTTGATCTTTATTGACAAGAATTTCATTGATTTCTAGACTTATATGCTCTGCCTATTCTCTTTCTATAGAATAATGAAAAGTCTAATTTTTAACTTAATTTGGAAAAACAAACAATGTTATATCCATAACGCAGACATGATTCAGATTTTTAAAGAAGGTTGAATAAAAGCCATAGATTTTGATGCAATAATGGTGCGTTAAAGTTGAAATGGCTGTTCATAATCCGCAATGCATAACCCTTCTTCTATTGTCTCCACATTCACATGTATGGTAAAAATAACATTGTTATACTGAAATGAGTGCAGACAATGATACTTTCCTCACTGGAGCCTGTAGCAATAAAACTTAGGCAATAAAAAAGAAGTTTTATAGCTGCCTTTGTGTCGTTTGGTAATAAAAATCGGAGTGAACAAAGATAGCATGTGAAGCTCTCTAAGGTTCCTTTCTTGAGACATTTTCTTTGTTTGTTAAATCATTTGTTACAAGATCTCTTACCATATAAATGCTATTTATCCTGTGACACCCCCATTGTCACAGCCACTTGCTGTTTTCAATTTATCAAAGTGTGGATGCATCAGATTTTTCCTCAATTTAATCCAGAAAAGACCAATGTCATTGGCTTTGGGTTAGAAATCTGCTATTAGTTAGACTGGATGAGGCTTAAAATAAAAGAGCATGCTAGAAACCTCAGATAACATCATGGAGAAAGATTTCTCTTTATAAAATTAAAACTAGATGTGATGCCTAATCAGCCTATCACTAGCTTTAAAACAATAAAGTGTTTCTTGTCAAAACAGGACACAGAAAAACTGGTGTATGATTTTATTTTTTAGTTCGTCTCCTTCAGCAGCTCATCCAACATACAACACTATGCCATACACATTGTTCTGTAGCCCTTTATTCCTAAAGCACTTAAAAAAACATAACGGCCCCTTCAAAGTGCTGTAAGGGAACAATAATAGAGAAAAAACTTTATATCAAGTATAGGATAAAGGGGCTATAAAAATTCAGAAGAATCCATGTATTTCAAAAATGTTAAGAAGACAAAGTGTTTTTTTTTTTTTTATAGGTTTTATCTAAACAGCAGGAGATTTGACCTGCAAGGTGATCTCATTTCAGCTTTAGGAGCCAAAACTACAGTACATCTAAATTTATAAAATGCCTTCTGGAGAATATAAAGTGTCTTTCGAGCCACTCTAACAATACGAAATTGCAGGAATTGATGACGTATCACAAAAAAAAAAACAGACAGGACTGTAAGAAACTTACAAATATATAAAACTATTTGAAATCTAATTTAGAAACTGAACAGGAAGCCAGTGAGGGGACACTAAAATGTGTGCTGTCATTTACTTGCAGCAGTTAAAATTGTGCAGCAACATTTTAAAACAGCCATAAGCAGAAAAGAAAGACCTAGCTCATTCCAGTCAAAGGAGAATTACAATAATCCAGGCGGGAAAAGAATGAGGCATTGGATCATTGCACCTAGAGAGGTAAGCATTCCTTTTGAAAGCTGACAAATCTGAAAGAGGATGTAACCACAGTAAAGGAATGTGCATCAAGTAGGCTAGGGTCTATTTTTACACCTTAGGACCAAGAGGAATATTCAAGGGTGGGAATACAGCTGGAACCAGGGGATTAAAAAGAACAACCTCGGTCTTCTTTTCATTAAAATGAAGAAAATCCACGGGCTGCACGGTGATGCAATGGGCAGCAATGTTGGCTTGCAGCAATAAGGTTCTGGGTTCAATTCCTGGTCTCTCCACATGGAGTTTGCATGTTCTCCATTTGCAAGCGTGGGTTCTCTCCTGGTACTCCTGCCTATTCCCACAGTCCAAAAACATGAGGTGTTGGGTTCATTGGCTTCTCTAAACTGTCCCGCGGTATGAGTGTGTGTGTGCGCATGGTTGTGTGTCTCTGTGCTTCCCTGAAAAAGAGTGGCGACCTGTCCAGGGTGTACCCCGCATCTTGCGCAAAGACTGCCAGAGATTGGTACCAGCTCCACCACGACCCTGACAAGGACTAAGCAGGGGAAGATGGATGGATGAAGGAAACTATCCTTCTCAAGAGAGTCACATTTCAAAGTCATCAGCATTTGAATTAAATTGTGTAATGCTTCCTAAAAAATGGTAATAAATGGCAGGGAGTGAAGGAAAGACAGGTGAGGACCAAGCATAGAGCCCTAAGGTACCCCTCAGAGGCAAGCAGAAGCACAGGTATGATGACAGGTGATTCTGTAAGAACCCGTGGCAAAGCATGGAAAATTGACCTTCTCACAACTTGTTCTCTGTAACTTCTGGTTCATCCACCTCTGCAACCAGCAATCGGAAGACAGCACATCAAAGGGAAACATTTGACTTTTAACTGCACATTTATTTGACTCTAAATTACATGTCTCCATGCAATATAAAGCTTTTATCTGCTATTGTTCTGTTACAAAGTTCAAAAACTTTATTTGAAGGTTTTACAACATTTAAATAAAATCCACTTTGCATGTGCCAACCAATTCAAAGATCCGACAAAACATAAAAGCCATTCCATTCAAATTTTGGTAATTCCCACTCAGGCCACGATAAAACCAGTTCGTTAAGGAAAAGCCCTTTAAAGCTATCATCAGAATAAAAAACAAAAAATGTTCTCCTTCAAATTTTTAAGCTGAATTCCATATAATCAATTTTTATTTAAAAATTAAAAACTGCAAATATAGTAAACTTTTAAGAAACTTGAATGTCATAGAAATCTTTTCCTAAAATGTTGACCAATGATCGCAGTGTTAGAGAGGGCAGTGTTTTCAAAACCTTCTAATCTGTCTGTCATCTTGACCCTTTTTAAGCAACAATAGCTAACATAAATATCCCTGTCCATCTTTATAGTATAACATTCTAGCTAAAAGCAAAACGTACATTTGGATAGAAAATCTTGATTGACCTTTAATCCATTAAGTGTTGATGTTCTCTTATAGCTGAAATCACACAGAGATCACACTATCATGTTTGCTTTAAAATAAAAACATCTATGCTCATCTTTTAGCTTTAGATAACAATGGATCCTTGCGCTGCATGCTTACATGTTTTCAAATTGAAAATAAGAGACACCAGACAGTTTGATCTTTACAGGTATTTCAGTCTATTAACAGGATTTGTCAATCAGTCCAATAAATAAGCATACCTGAAAACATGTCGATATACAGTACATAGATACAGTTTATATAGCTGAAAAAGTCATCTCCGAGGTTTGCATCAAGAGGCTGTAAGGCACATGTAAATAATCATGACGTACGCAGGATTTCACATTGCACGAGAAGTGTGTCGTTATGCACACTCGGTTCCAGTGTTAATAAGTATGGACTTCTGAGGCCTCGTTCTGTTTAGTCGACAGCTGCTGGTTGGAGACCTGCTTATCTGAAGCTTGTGTCCTTAAAAGGGGAGGTGTGTTTTTAAAAGTAAAAGTGAAAAATGAGATCTCCAGTGTGAGGACAAGTACAGATTGAAACAGCCTTAGTGTTACTTTTCTGACCCTGAAAAACAGCATAGCTTAGGATAAGATCCAACTTTCCCTGGAAAGATCTTCTTCTTAGATACATATATAGATATATAAACAAAATCATCACATCATGTCTTATCTTTTGCTTCATCACAACTTAAAACAGTAAATAAAAATTTTTTTTTTTCTTCAGAAATGTCTTTGCAGACTGTGTGTATGGGAGTGTGACGTGCAATCTTAAGATTAAAAATAAAGCATGCGCACCACAATTAATCAAAACACTACTGGCAGGCAATAGTTAAAACATACATACAGCTTTCCATCCAGTCAACCAATCAAGTCATGCTCTGTATGTTTTGGAGATTACTTTGTGTGTGTCTGTGTGTGTGTTTTGCTTTCAAGTCTAACAATTACTGAGTGTTCTTCCTTTGCTCCTCGCAGTCATCATTTTGAGATCCCTAAGCCGGTCTTCATGTACTCGTAAACCACATAGCTAATGCTGACAGCAGGAATGACTTTCATGAAATTTGGCAGGATGCCTCGGTAGAGCCCAAAGAAACCATCTTTGGCTACAATCGTCCTCAGCAGAGAACTCATGGAGGGCTGGTCTGACACATCTAGAGACGCTGCAAAGAAGAAGAAAAAACAAACAGATGAGAGGAGCAGCGCTGTTTATAATGGATGTAAGACTTACAGGGAGGTTTTAACACTAGAGGATGGTTATAACAAGAGTTTAAGAGTTTATGATGAGCAGAGCTGGTGCATAAAGTCGTTTTCTAGTTTATTACAGTTTACATAAAGATCTAATTTCCAAACTGCTGTGGAACGATCCACTTCAGCATCGCTCGAAGAAGAAAATACAGTGAAGGCAGAGCACAAAAAAACATGGAGGTTGATTTGTTTTTAAGTAAAGAAACAACACTTTCTACCAGAATGCATCTATTACTGATAATGCATCAGTTCCCACTCAGCAGGGGGACATTTTAACCCTGCTTTAACGAACAACAACGTTGATTCTGGTATTTTTAGCATCTATTGTAAGAAAAAAAGTTATTTATTGACAATTTATCTAAAAGCAGGAGGTCACCTTTAGTTAGCAATGTTTAATAATAATCATTAATAATCTGTTATATTTAAGAGTCAAATGGCCCAATTTGTTATTATAACAATAACAAAGCAGTGAAGTAAATTATACCTATTTTGATCAAATCTCAGATTGAATCCAGGAAGTACATGCTGATGAGTCGCATTAATATTTTAAGGAAACTGAATAAAGTTTTGCTTAGATATCAATGGCTGTAACCTTTTGGACAAAACTCACTGATCTGCTTTAGAGAAATAGTTAATTACTCCGGTTCACAAAGTTATCTATGTGCTCTAATATTTTTGTGAACCAGCTGTTATTATTTGTTTTATTTTAAATCGAGTAGAGGCTTATAACTCTAGTCCCTTCCATCAAAATGTAAATCATTTAAATTCACATGAAGACTATGTCATTACGCTGGGGAGTCACTGCGCAACAGATAAAGCTGTAATTCTAATCTTCAACCATCACAATGGAAAAATTGACTTAATTCCATATTTATAACCTAAAATAATGACAAAACTTTAATAGCTAATGAACTACGAGGTCAGAATAACATCGCATAAACTAATAATTGCTATAGGGCAAACATGCCCAAGCTAAATAAACCAGAAAAATATGTATGTTTAATATTAATTCATTATCAATGATAAATTGTTTAACAATACATTTGAATTAACAAAACAAAGTAAGAACCTCTCTAGTGTAAACTTTTATAATCTGGGACTTCTGTGGAAGTGTTTACATAAAATGTTTAGAAGATCTTATTTACTGCGCAACACGGTTTTAGAAAAGTTAAAATCAGTCACATAAAAGCACCTCCAAATTAGAATTCCTTTTTTAAATAGTTTGTATAACCCCCATCTGCTGACCGCTTCTCTCCTCTCCAGTTCCTTAAGTTCAAAGCTGTTTTTACTGTCGGTATTTTAAATGTTTAGCATTGGATGACGTTTTGAATGTACTCCTCTTGCCAGCAGTGGCAGCATAAATATGGGTCTTTTTTCCAGCTGAGGGACCACCGGTGACGGCAAGTGTGCAATTATGTGACAACGAATGCAAATTATGTATTAAGTCTTAAAAAAATTGTTATAAATGAATGGACGTATTAGTTAAAGGTACACTTATAAATGAGCTGAAATAAATGTTTTTTTTTTTGGTTTTTCAGTGAAATGTAATGGCTTAAGTTAAAGGTATAGTGGAGGATGTTTTATTTTCAAGGTGGATCTTTAAAATAAATTGTCCTCCTATTTGTCCATCATTCTGCTGATATGTTTACGTAAGGTCGTCCTACCTGCTCGTCCCCATTTTCACTCACCAGTGGTGACACTGACATAGTGGAAGTTAGCTTGAATGAGCGACGGAAATAGGAACTTTTAAACAGAGCGTGCACAAGTCCATTTCTCCTCGTCCACGTGTTTAATAGGTGTTCCCTCGGGAGCGGGTACAGGGTTGATCATGTGCATTTTTTTATTTTTAAATGGATAAAACTGGATAAAAATCAATTTTTATGCATATTAATCCATTTAATATGGATAAATAGATCTTCAAAAATTCATGAAAATCCTTCATTATACCTTTAATCCAGACAGGAGTCAACAAGTAAGGTTTTACTTTTTATCTATTCCACCGATCTGCCGGTTGGGGCTTACCTTGTGCCTGCATCCGTGTGCGTATGAGAGCCAGAGGATAGCTGGCGAGCTGGCCGCAGGTACTGGAGATGGTTCCGCAACCCAGCAGCACCAGAACTCCAGGGTTAGCTGAGTCTTTGGCGTGATGAGACAACCAAGTGCTCTTCAGAGTCTGACACACATAAAAAGAACAAAAAAAGGTTTGACTAAAGCCTAAAAAGGAAACCATATCTAGACAGGGCAACACTGCACACACCTCATAAACTGCGAGGTCTATCCCTGCATAGGGAATGATGCCTATTAAGTTTGGAATGTAGCCCTTATAAAAAGCAATGACCCCCTCCTTCCTCAGGATCTTCTTGGCACAGTCAAACATTCCCGCGTATTGGCCGGTTTTCCTTAAGGTCAGCCGAGTCTTTAAAACCTTAAAGAAGAACAGCACAAAAGTGGCAAACATTCAGGACATGCTGTCTTGTTGTTAGTGAATTTAATGACTCTGATCGGATCCTGAGTGGAAGTGGGTGCGAGCTAAAGCCCAGTCATACCTCCATTGGGTAGATGGCTGTTTGTGCTGTGGCCCCAGCCAGAGACCCTGCCATAAACCGCTTATGAGTCTCTATTTTCTTTCCCTCTGAAGTTAACAACTTCTTATACTGCAACAGAAAACATAACATCCACTGTTACTGCCAGCTGTAACCTTAACCTGATTATTTAATGAAAAAATCTGAGATGCGGTTCTGAACTTGTTCGTAGGCCATGAACTTGATTGCGGTCTCAGGTGCGATCTTTAAGACGTTGATCCCGTTTCCTCGCCACAACGACGTCAGACCTCCTTCTACAATCATCTGTCTCAGCCCCCCGATCAGGCTGATCTTGTTCTTTTTGGAGGAATGAACCTGGAGTGAACATAAACACCTTTAGCCTAACAGTTTCAAGCAGACACACACACGTGTATTTGACATCACCAACCTGCATGAAGACCTTGAGCCTGTCCAGAGGGGCCGTCCCCGTGCGAGACACGGCGCCCGCCACAGCACCAGCAACCAGCTGCTTCCACCACTCGTCTGATCTCTTCTCTTCCTCCGTGAACTCATCCGGGATGGAGAGGCTGTCACCAATGTCCAGGAACTAGAGATTAAACCAACATTTTCCCCTATATTAATCAGAATTAAACACTGACTGCGTCAATCATTACAGATTATCTACTTTAAGCACCGTCAGTTCATATGACCCCACTCAAAGTTGAATGTCAGGTTCATTTTGGACTTTTATTCAACAGTTTGTTGCCGATGCCAGATACAAAATGACACCTGCTAGCTTTACAAACACTCCACCATTAAATGTCAACAGGTTCTGTCATGATTCTATTTACTTCTTGCTGTATCTCCAGATTGTATGCTCAGCATTTCATTTCTCCAGGTTTTAGTCGTCTAGCTGATCATTTGAGGTTAAGTTAAAGATTTTCAGGTTCTATGAGTCCTTTATTATTATCCAGTTCTCTTGTTCAACTGAAATACAGCAGAAAAAACAGGTCCTCAGCATTATGCTACCCCCACCGTGCCTAAAATGTTCCTAAGATTGAAAGCCTCACCTTAACTCCTCCAAATGTATTATTGTTTTCTCATTGGGATCAAATGTGTTCATCTTTGCCTTCTCAGATCAATAAAAGCTGTTCTGTAAAAATACATTGGTGAGGGCAGCTTTCTTGGTATCCTGGTGCATATTGATGTCAAACTAACTGAACTAAAGCACCACAGGCATTCAAGCATCTTTTATCTTATGACAGACTGGCTCACTTTTCCTGCTGAGCAATTTCCGTTTACAAAAATAGGGTACTAGTTTTGATCAAATGGGTAAACAGCTGGTATTCCAACAGGAATGGGTGACATGAATAGATTGCAACAAATACAATTGAATGACTAAATTCTGCACTTTAAATAGCTGAGGGCTTAAAGTGACAGCATACGGTGTGTGTGGCCAGAGACAAGAACCTTGCAAGATCAACTTCTGCTTTCTGTTTTCGCAGTTGTGTAGCAACAATGTTAACGTCTCGCCTGACAGCATTTACTTAACCTTGAATGTAAAGTTGCAACCCAAAAGCCTTGACTAGCGTCAACCTCATTCAGTTTCCATTCACTGAAAAAAAGGGAGCAAAAATCAAATGGCGTTGTCCTTTAAATTAGGAAAAGTTATGAGCCCTTTGCCTCACATGCTGATCCTGTTTTAGATTATTTTTAAAAGCTTTTATCTTATAACATGAGGGTTCCTCAGAAAAAAAATAGGAAGAAAAAAATTAGTGATCTATTACAATCTGATATAAAGCTGCGGGAACACAAGGGAATTTCAGAGCCAGTTAGCATGTGTTCAGCAGTCACTGCAGTGACAGATTTCATTGTGGTATGCAGGGAAACATTCAGGAACAGGTTCTGTCAAGCGAAGCTCTGTTCTGTGCGGGTAACAAACCAGTCCAAACACCAGACCAGCACAATTTAGAAAGAAACGGAAAAGCACGCTGAGGGAAACTCATCCAAACAAAAAAAAAGGAGAGCTGCTCTCAGTTGTGAACTGCAAAAAGAAAATCTATAGTATCTAACAGAAGAGGAGTGAAGGGACATGTGATTTATTCCACTGCAGCAGCCTCAGAGTGTTTGTGTCTGAACCCTACCGAGGAGTGCTTCCAGTAGCGGATGATCTCTTCCAGGTTGAAGGCAGGATACAGCAGGAAGTGCTCTCTGAACTCGTTCCAGTCGACCATCATGGTTCCATCGATGTCCATGCTGAGGATCCACAAACAATTTTTCTTTATTTCCATGTTTTAAAAAGTTAAATTATGACTATGCATGCATGTGTTTGGAAAAAAAAACAGCTTGCAGATCATGGATTTAAAAAAAAAAAGGTCTAACCTTTGTAAGATTTTCATTGCATGTTTCCTGCTGATATCTATGCCCAGTTCTGCAAGGGCCTGCTGGATCTCTGTGGCATCAATGTGCCCTGAAAACACATTCAAAAAGAAAGATCAGATGAAATGTGATGCAGTTTGGATTAAAAAAAGGCAACATGTGAGCTTCCAGTGTGAACACCAATCCTCCTCTCCAGCTCCTACCATCGTTGTTTCTGTCCAGACTTTTGAATGTCAGCATCAGCTTCATCTCATGCTCCTTCAGATATTTGGTAAACTCGTTAAAGTCCAAACACCCATCCTTGTTCCGGTCTCCAGATGACACGATTTTCTACAGTAGGACAGAGAGGAGAATCTAGAATCAGAACTGAAACCCTGAAAGATCAACCCAGGACTTGAAACTTAAATCTCTGGCAGAACACTGGATCTCCTGCTTCAGGTTACCTGTGCTGCACCGTGGCGAAACATCCCCATCGCCTTAAGGCCCGCTCGTAATTCAGCCACATCCACCCTGCCATCTTTATTGGTGTCAAGTTTATCAAAGAGAACCTGGTAGGACCGCTCACTGTCGGCATCCCAGCAACGGGCGCTTGACAGTATAGACGTCCGGAGCGCTGGATACATTGCAGAGCTATTATGGAAGCAGCGTGCAGACAAGCCGTCCGTTCTGCAGACCTTAATCGGATGATTAATCCATATTGACGGTCATTCATTAATCCTGTCCATAATCCGCATGCATACTCCTCAATAGCAATCAGGGAAAAATAAAAAATAAATGCTCGCTGGTTGGTGTTTTAGCAGAGCGCTCAGGGCAAAGGTTTACTCTGCAGCCAGTGCTTCTGAGGAACTGCAGCAACGGAGGGCGGAGCTACTACTATTGCTGCGTTTCTGCGGCTCACTACGGAAAAGCGGGCAAATAAATAACCCTCATAGTGCATTATCATTTTATGATGCTAAAAAAATTATCTTTAGTCTTTTTTTTTGCACGATTTTCCAGTGCGATATGTTGCCGAGCTTTACTGAGGGTTTGTAATCTGCTTATCTAGAAGGACGTGTCAGCACAGAGAGAAACACTGAGCTATGCGATTTTAACGAGGCAATACAACTGGACGCCAGCAGTGGGCGACATTTTATCAAAGCAGAGATAAAAGAAATCAAAGTGCTGTTGGGAAAAAGTAGTCTAATAATTACATAAAGAATAAAAAAGTCAAAACTTATAATTAATAGTATAATAATAATAAAAAACACATACTTTTTTTAAATTGTATATAGCTATATTTGTTGTCTTATTATTTTTGTATGTTTTTTTATAATTTTATGTAATTTTCCTTTAAATAAAAAAGCACAATAACCTGGTTGAGTATTTGCACAATGCTTTATTATTTTTGTTTTTTTTCTTACCTTTTATTCCTATGTATGAGAGTTGAAATGTCTTTATTGAAAGAGGAGTACAAGTCGTTGCCTTCTTCTGAATTTACTTTGGGTTATTATGCCTTAACTAAAGGTGTACATCGGCTTGCATGCATGACCATAAACTAAAGTAATGTTGACTTTCCCCCTATAGTCTTCTTTGCAAGAAGTCTATTACCGTTACACATCTTGAGTTTCAACATTGTCCTCCTTCTCTTTTGCAAAAACTCTTTAACCTTCCCATGATGTTATGAAATACATAAAAGTATCCCATTTTTTTTTTTTACTGCATCAAGATTATTTGACTTTTTCCTGAATCTGTGTATTATAACTGATTAAAGCAAAGAACCCAACTTTATTTACCTTTGAAATACTTTGCAAAAAACAGTCATAGCTTTACTGTGTGAGGGTCAGTTTAGACTCTAATGAAAAAAATACATTAAAATATTTTTTGGAAAAAAATTAAACAATTTCACAAAACGCTGTTAGTCATCAGCCAACTGACAGAGGTAGAGGTTTCTCTTGTAATTGATATTTTAAAAATAAATGCAAGAGATGTGTTCTAAGACATAATAACCAGTTGTTTACTACAACATCCCAGTGGGCGTCATTTGAGTTTTCACTGGAAGTGAAAGAAAACAGTCACAGTACCTTACACTGAAAATATATAAACAAATCTTTTGAAGGAAAAATAAGCCTTATAGAGCAACCGAGGCCTATAAAACGAGTTAGGCATAAAAAGCAGTATTTTTGTTGCTGTAAGGACTGAGGTCAAAACTGACCCCAAACACCATGGAAAGTAACAGAAAACTCACACTACAGAAAGACTTAATCTCTTGATTATAAAGCATGTCTGCCCATAGCCCTCCTTAGGGGACATCCACAAACTTCTCTGTGCCACTTAGTTCTGGGTGCTATAAGATCCAAAAGGTGCACGGTTAGAAATCTGTTTTAACTTTTCAAAATATCATGAACTTTAAAAGTATTGTTGTCCAAAAATCTGCTATACTGTCAGCGGTGTGTTGTGAGTCACTATGAGGCCACCTTGTTTGGTGTCAATAACGATATTCGTCAGGTAGAATTCTGATCTGCTGGGAAAATAAATGAGTGTGTTTAACTCAGATTGTCTTAAAAACTTTAACGATTTAATATGTTCTTGATAACAATTGGTACCAATATACTTCTGATCTAAATATTTGAAGATATATCTGTAAGGAGAACATAAAAGATGGCTAAAAAAAAAAGCCTAGTTTTTCAATTGGCTGTCTTTTTACATTTGAAATTGTGTTGGATGTAATAAATTAGAATATCACTAAAAAGTCTGTTTTTTTAACCAAGTTAGTTCATAATGCGAAACTCAAGCACTATAAATGTTTCTTAAACATTTTTCAAGGGTAAATTTCATTTAAAACTTAAATCCAATAGAACTCAACTTGAAAAGACCTTTTAAGTGAGATCAATAGAAATAGATTTTTTTTTCTAGCATGATAATATGTTACAGACATGTTCTGGCCAGAACAACCATATAGAGGACTATTGATTTCCCAGTTGTCCAGCAAACAGTTTACAGAATAGGCAGGTGCAGAAAAAGTTGGAACTCATTAATGAAAAGTTAAGTGGAAGAAAAATACATTTTGTATTTTAGTTGTTATTCAGGGTCACAGAGTCTGAATGAAGAGTTGAAAGTCACAGGATCCAAGTTGCTTGAGGCCCAAGGTGAGTTATCCAGTCTAGTAATGCTTTGAATAAACTAATCCCTGCATTGAAGCTGTGGAGGGTTTTCAAAAGAAAGATGTGGAACACCGGATCCAAACATACAGAGTATGGAGGACCAACTCTGCCATATTCAAAAATAAATACAATAAATAAGCATACAATTATTCCCCCCAAAATACAAAAAAGAAATAAATGTAGGTAGAAATTAAATTACAGAGTGAGACATAAATGTATATATCTCTTTTAATTAGCTTTTTTGTTTACTCGCCTTTGTAATAATTACCTTAGTTATCATTTGTCCGTTATAACCTTCCACTTTTTTTAAGCATTTATTTATGTGCATGATATAATATTTTTGTCTGTTTTTATTCTTCCTTTGTATTTTTTTTCCTCTACTTATTTCTTTAGCGCTAATTATTTTTGCCTGTCGTTTTTTTTTTTTTTCATTGCCTGCCTGTCATTTTTACATTCCTGTATGCATTTGTGCCTCATTATGCAAATGAGGAATGGCTGTGTGTCTTAGAGGGTCAACTTCTGCCCCTCAACTTCTACAAAAATATTATATCATGCACATAAATAAATACTTTAAAAATAAGTAATAAATAAATAAAGTTGAAGATTATAAGGGACAATAACTTAATAAGGTAATTATTACAAAGGGGAATAAATAAAGAAGCTAATGAAAAGAGATTCATACATTTATGTCTCACTTTATAAACTAATTTCTACCTTCAATTATTAGTTTATTGTAGTTTTTGGGCAATTAATTTTATGCTTATTTATTTATTGAACATTTATTTATTTATGTATTTATTTTTAAACATGGCAGAGTTGGTCCTCCATAACAGAGAAGCTTAAAGCCACCATTAAAGCAACCTGGACTTCCCCAGCAGCACGTAGGAGCAACACGCTGGTCACCAAAGCACAATGAGGGCACTGAAGCTGGTATTTATATAGAAGCAGCCCGAAGGAAGTAGGCCTACATTTCTGTGGTAAAAAAAACAAAGAAAACATTTAACAGTTCCTTTGTATTATTCTAATTGTATGAAAACTTTAGTTTTTTATATCTGTAGCATAACCATAAAATAACTTTTAAAATACAACCCTTTATAGTAACCAGGGCTGTCTACTTTCACCCATTGGGAGTGAGACTCACCCATCTCAGTGTTGTCACACATTCTCACTCCATATTCCCAATTTCTCACGCTAAAAAATGACAGACATTAAAACTCAACTCCGTTCCACTTATTTATTTATAAAAAGACCATGGTGATAAAATACCAGGCCACGTTTTTAATACAGCCTTAGTGCTAACACATAATGAAATGCCAGATTCATATCCAGTCCATATTCCCACCTATTTACTGTGCCAGATATTGAAAAAAGAAAGTTTTTGCGAGGTATGTCATTTTAATTTTATCTCATCTGTACTAGGATAATTCTCTTTGTAAATTATTGAAGATTTTAAGCAATCTTGAGTAAATATGAATAAAAATACAGCAGCTACCTTAAACTATTGATGGAGACTGAGTGTATGATCCCATCAAATGGTTTGTTTTCTCTTTACCTGTTGCTTTTTAGTCCCAGTTTTAGTCCATGTTTTGCTCACAAGATCAATAATTATTGCGCAGTCTAGCTGAATAATCTCCCGTTGGAATTCAGGACTTTTTAAACCAACACAAATATTTTGATTCTTAAAACTTTCAGGTTTGCCTCTCAAACCCATAGGAGGTCCACAAAAAGAAAAAGAACCATTGCATTTTATTTTTTAAAAGAAAAGACAAACCACATTCAGAGAGGATGTGCAGAAGAACTGTTATCCTGGATTCATAGAGTAGGAACCACAGGCATGTTCTCATTCTATTATTTCTTATCTTATTAATTTATCCTTATTTCGGTCAATTGAATATGTTTAAAAACTTAATTTACATTTTCCAAATGAAAGATCCAGAGAAGTGCCGTCTCCTGTCATGGTGAGTTTTTATAAAATCTACAGCCTCCTAGAAGGTCTGAATTGTTCAGCTGTTTTGTCATTTGTAAGAAAAACTAATAACATAATGAATAAATCTTTTTAATCCTTAGCCTATTAGCAAATATGCATACACAGTGAATTTGCGTGGGATTCGATTGCACTGCTTCCTGTATTAGTGTCAGTAATCCAATAATAGTTTATTAATTTCCCATTGTTTATTTTACTTTAACTGCAGAGAATAATTAATAAACAAAGTTGTGAAATTCTTAGTTTAAAGTATATTTAAGATGCAAGTATTTTAGTAGAGCCCATTCTGTTGTACTTCAATTCTACTGTGAGAAACATTTTCCACATAACTACAGATCACTTGTTGTTATTCAGTAAAATTTTTTGTGCTATAAAAATCCCACTTTTTTTTCAGTAAAATAATCTGAAAACCCCCAACCTATAGCTGAACCTATCCTCATCTCACCCTGAGGGTTTCCTGTCCAAACTATTTCTAAATCTCACCCAAAGGTTTGGTTAAAGGTTAGCAGCCCTGTATTATATATCAAATAGTGTCTAATTAACCTCTGAGAGAAAAACATGGCTTCCGCTTTTCTCTATAACAGTTTCACTATAAATCATGAGAGTAAAGTCACTTAAAGGGACCATCCCTGCTGTTAGTTCTTCTTTCAATTGGTCGTTTTTTAATTGATTTCTTTTAAACTGAAATGCGTGGTCCGGCCTGGGTGTTTTTTTTCTCCGTTCCCCCGCGTGTCCAACCAAATCACGGATTTTCCCCACGTCATGACTCGTGGGTGGGAAGGAGAGGGTTTGAACCTTTGGATCGAGTCTGATGCGTTCACTGACTCGCCGCTGCGGGAGAATTCAGCTCCTCCGCTCCAGAGACAGCGCCCAGCTTACAGTCAGCAGTCATGTCCTTCATACTTATGAAGAAAAAGAAGTTTAAATTCAAAATAGACTTCGACTTGGAGGAGCTGTCCTCGGTTCCCTTCGTCAACGGAGTTTTATTTTGTAAAGTGAGACTGTTGGACGGAGGCTTTGCCCACAAGTCCTCTCGGTAAGGCTGCTCTTCTATTTATTGCTCATGAGCAAGTTACTAAGAATACAGCAAAATCTTTTTTTATTTTAAATGTGTTTGGTAGTTAATATTTTATGGAAAACGTCCCAGCATTTTGTTACTTAAATACACCAACTTGACATTATTGCAGCCAAAAAAAGTTGTTTGGTGTTAAGAAGAGTAGAGAAGTTTTTTTTCCCCTGAAGATCCACATATGTTTATAGAATGTTTGCTATAGATGGTTAAACTAGTTGCTTAGCAACAAGCCATGCAGCATCTGATGCTTTGGAAATATTTGAATCCCTTACATACATTTACCTAGGACTTTTTAGAACGTCAATTTTTGTATCTAAATATAAAAATATACTGAAAGTAAATAAATTAGGCCCAAAACAAGCAAATAAGTGATTTATATAGAGTTTTGCTTTCTTCTAGTTGATAAAAAAATAAGAAGTCCCACCTTTTGTACATATAAATTATAAGTGACATGTATTTTATTTGGGATAGTCTTGAAAACATTAAACATTAAATACAAACAATGCTTTAGATTTCTTTGGGTTTGCTTTGGATTAAAAAAACAATTTAGAAATCTATGATTTTTAGGAAGGTTATACATCAAGTAAATTTGAAATCAGTATTAATCTGGAAAAACCAGATTCCTTTATCAGGGAATTAAAACAGTAGCAATTCCTAACAGCTTAAAGTAGCAGCAGTTGGTTTTCAAAGCAGATTTCAGGGATGTCCAAGTTAGACACGTGTTGACATTTTGGGTTAAATCCTAATATGAACTCAAGGGAACAGAAAATAAAGTGGATCTTTTGTAAATCCCTGTTCCAACCAAGCTGACAGTAAAATGAAACCCTCTGGTAAAACATACACCATGAAACTCCTTATTCATCTACTTTGGTTAAAATTTGATGAGACAAACTCAACACAGGGATTGCATCCAGTCCCTGACACATTACCTTAGGGCCTCTATTTTTTATTTTTTTCACTAATGAAACCAAACTTCCTCATCTAACTTCCCTAAATTCCAAGTGAAATCCCAAAGGAAAGCTAAATGTAAAAAAAAAAATCCAAAGAAGCTCAGGACAACAAAATAAGTCTTTCAATTTTGTTTGTTGTTACTCGGATTTAAGCGGACCAGTGAGAGTCCACCACTTAGAGAGGCTTAATAGAGCAGCCTTTTTCTATATAACAGGAACTATTTATATTATAAAGGAAGCTCATCCAATCTTTCTACTGAATAAATATGTCCTTACAGTCAGTATACTCAGGAAACCAGCTATAGATGCAGAATATTTGCACTGGAAAAAAATCCAAATCTAGATAAGTAATTTTTACTTAAAATATGTGCATTTGTTCTTGGATTTAGGAGGTAAAAGAGACATTTAAAATAAGAAAACACAATTACATTGTCTTATTTCATGTGGATTTTATCTAATTATCTTATTTTAAGATTAAAAATACTCATTCCATTGGCAAACTCTCATTTCCTTACTCAAATTAAGGGTAAATACACATTTTTTAAAGCTTATTTCTAGGTCGTTTTTCCAGTGTGTGATTAGCTGTTCTGTTGGGGACAGTTTTTAAAATATCTTCTTGTCTCCCAGAGAGCCGGTCCAAGCCAACTGTGTCTACTGGAAGAAAAGGTTTTCTTTCATCTCTAAAATGAGCGCCAACGTAGAGACAGGAGTGCTGGACCCCTGCATGTGCCGAGTGTCTGTGAGAAAGGTATGGGACCACCAAGGCGAACTGAGGCTCAGGCACAACAAACCACGCTGTTAGTTTGTTTAAATGTCCAAACAGTGAGGAGAATAATAATTTTTTTGTTTTGTTTTTTTGTTTTTTCAGGAATTAAAAGGTGGAAAATCTTTTGCAAAGGTAATTTTTATCCTCTAAAATTTCAACTTTTTGCAGAAAAAGCAGCTATAAAATACTTAATACATTGGTAGGGTTTTGCAAGAGTATAAAGGAACAATTTCTTATGAATTTCTTTGGAGATTTTATCTCATTTTATTGTTGGGTGAGTTTTTATTACTTCCCTGTTGCTGGTTGATCAGTCAGTAAGTCAATATTGGACCCTTGTTAACTAATAACTTTAATGAGTGTCGAAGTGACTCGTCTCTGTTTGTGTTTTCCGCCTTTCAACATTCCTTTCCATAAAGCTGTAATCTCTGCACAAACAGACAGTTACTTATCAGCTGCTCTGAGATTTACGCTGTAGAATAAAAGCTGAACCCTGTTAAAAAAAAGAGTAGTTGTCAGAATTCAAAATGTTAAGGCAGCAAAGTTCAGCAACTTTTTTTAAGTTTAGAACATTGATTTAATCATTTAAGTTTAGCAAACCTTGAATTCTATGTTTTTTTAACTTGAAATGCTGCTTTTTCCCCCAATGTATTTGAAAGTAGGGCTAGGTTAGAAAAGGTAATGATTTAACTACAACTCTTAAAGATCTTATTTAAAAATCCTACTTTTTATTTAGAGCTTAATGTGCCTTGGTGGGTAGATGTGTCATCTATATTTTTACCAAAGCCTTTTTGTTTAGTTTTAGGGACAGAAACAGTCTGAGTTTTGAACTTCCAGCCTTTGCAAAAGCTGTGATCGCCAACCGCCAAGTAACTCCATGGTGGTTCTAATTCTGATAACTTAACAATAGGTCAACTTTTAACTTAAAAAAAATTTTTTTTATAATGATTTATTGTGTTTATTTCATGGCAGCATGTCTTCAGCCTTGATTTAAATTGTTAAAATTGAAGAAAGTGAGCTGAATCTTCACTTTTTAAAATAACAAACAACTCAAAGGTATAAGTATTGGTAACTTACTTGATAAAGTTAAAGATTGGAGTGAAAACACTTAAATTATTATCCCTATATTTAACACTTAGCTTTTCAGGTTTAGACAACTGCAAATAGTTTTTCAGCTCAAAAATTCTATTTTTTTTTATGTTTTTTTTTTTTTCATTGAAGCTAAAATGCCATTTTAATTCTTTGACCACTTTCAGCTTGGCTTTGCTGACTTGAACCTATCAGAGTTTGCTGGGTCTGGCAGCACGGTACGGCGGTGTTTACTGGAGGGATACAACACAAAGAACAGCAGACAGGACAACTCTATTCTAAAGGTACGGTGAGAATTTTTTATTTTTTTATTCATATCAGGATAAATTATGCTTAAAGGGTTAAATGTGTAGATGTATAAGAATGTTTTGCTAACAGTTGAACTGAAAATTGTCCTTTTTTAAATGTGTAGTTGCATTTAGTCAATGTTTCAGACAGGAAATTAGCAGAGAGGTGGGCTGCACTTCCAGGAAAACACCTACAATGGAAACTGTAACCTTTAGGGTCTCCATTGTAGGACTTTTCCTGGAAGTGCAGCCCACCTCTCTCTGCTAATTTCCAGTCTAAAACACTGACTAATTGTTAAAGGTTAGAGTCCAACCTAAAATGGTCACATCTAAACATAAGGGATGTTTATTTCAACCATGTAGTTTTTTAATTGGTAGGAAGTTTTTTAATTTGAATATATTTCCCATTCATTTTGTGCAGCACACAGGGTTCTCAGATTTGGAGATCTCATCTTTAATTTTCTGAACACATATGTTGTGATTTTGGACCATATAGCTGGAACTTTGGTCAGTCAAGTCATAAACCGATTAATTTTCTTTCTGATCTTCCAGGACATTTGGGTCAAATGATCACAATGTGCATAAAAACTTAAGTATCAGAAAAAAAGTTTTGGAACCTAAGAAGCAGCTTAAAATCCAACCTCTGAATCCTCTCGTCCTCGGCCCTCAAGAATTTGGGGAAATTAAAAGTTTAGTACTTTAATTTTATCTAAAAGTATTTTTAGATGCATTTCATCTAATATCAGTGGGGGTTAAAGTTTGTAATTGTGACCAGAAAAAATCTAAAATATTTTTTGATACCTGCTTCCAGTTTTAGTTTAAGGTATTGCAGTTTGTATATATGATATAATTTCCCCTTGTAAAGAGGAATTGTCAAACACTTCTATAGAAGAGCCAAAAATTCTACTTGAGTTTGTGACCAGAACTTCCTGGTTTTAAACCTTATAGAATAAAACTCTTGAAGTATATCCCATAAAATGCACTGGAAAAAATGTAAATCTAAATAAGTCATATTTTCTTATTTTAGTGCAGTTTTTCTTGAATTGAGGTTGTATGTGAGACCCTTTGCCAATGAAACAAGACAATTTACATTTAAAATAAGAAAAAACAAATTGCATTGTCTTATTCCAAGTACATATTGTCTATTTATCTTATTCTAAGAGTAAAAATCTTCATTACATTGGCTGATCATTTTATTTTCCTACTCAAATTAAAGGTAAATGTACTTGATTTAAGTCATATTTACTTATCTCTGGATCGTTTTGGTTATTTTCTTACCAGTGTTGTCAGACAGACTTCAGTGTGTGGAAAGGTTATTCTGCTCTGAGAACAGAGACATGTCAGAGCCTCTGGTGTGATCATCTGTCTGAGCCATGGGAAAGATTTTAATACATACATATTCTTGCTGAGTCATGAGGCTTCAAAAACCAAACTGTAATCTTATGAAAGCAACATTTACTCCAACGTCTTGATTCTGTCTTTTATCTCAACAATGTGTCTCTGTTCCAGGTTGTTATTTCTACACAGCTAATGTCTGGAGACCCCTGCTTTAAAACGTAAGTCTGAGTCTGTTATGAAGCCCTTACTTGTGCGTCAGCATCTCTAAAGGCTTCCAACGACAGTGGGTTTTACTCGTACAAAGGTCCTTCATTGACCACAGGGGGATTATTTTCATCACATCCTGTCTGTCACCTAAAAGCAAAAATAATCTCAAAGTAAAAAAAAAAATATTAAAATAAGTATATTTACACTTGAGTATGTAAATAAGATGATCTGCCAGCTAAATGAGTTCAATGGACTCACTTACCTGCTTAATTTAAGAAAGAAAATGCAGTTATTTAAAAAATAGCTTACTTAGATTTCTGGTTACTGCACACTCTACAATCAACATTAAAGTTGTAAAGTCCCTCCTATCTCAATCTCATCTAGGAGATAATAACACCTCACCCAGTTGTTTTTGTGCCCTACCTTAGTCAAAAGAAATACTTTCTACGTGATCAGACTGGCTCAGAGTACATATTCTGAGAGTATGTATTCATACTCTCTTAGTTTTAGAGGATATGATGTAACAAAAAAGCAAAAGCCCTCTTAATCTTTTCCTTTTTGTCCCCTTTCAAGTGTTGTTTAGTCTAAATACTACAGCGGTTGCCTTGGGGACAGCCGTAGCTTAGTCATTTATCCTCCCCTGTGTTAGTCACTGCATTGGGAGGGTTAATGATGCTCACCGACGGTGCCACATGCTTCTTCCTCTCTTTATTTTCTATTCATTCTGTCTCTAAACCACAGCTGTTGAAATGCAGGCTACACTCATAAGGTTGCTGTTACACAGATTTTTATTTAGCTGACATTTAATATTAACAGGATCCGGTATTATCAGGTAGGAAACATTAATTAAACCCATTTTTTTCTTCCTATGTATTTGTTTTGTTGGAACTCCCCAGAATGTGGGGGCATAATATCCTGAATGGATAGCAGATGTTGTCCGTCAGTCACTTCTCTGCTTTTGCTCTTGAGCCAAAATGGATTTTTAGGAAACAAACATCTGGTTGCTGGTTATGGGAAGAAAATATGCACGAGCCTATAGGCATACGCTTGTAGTTGAATTACATAAAGCCATATTTTGTTTATATGTGTACTGTAAATGCAGTCTGTTTACAGTGTAAAGCTCCTAAAGGCTCCTAAAGGTTCCATTTGTTGTGTTTACAGGAAACCTGATTGTCAAAACAAAATATTTGTTTACATTTGAATATATTGACATCTTAAAATTGTATTACTTGTAATTTTTTTAGAAAAATCCTGTTTAAGATGCCTTAAATAAACAGATTGAATGCTGTGTTTTAGAAACGAGTTGATCAGAATCTTTGGATGATGCTTATAAGGTGCTGCCTCTTACCTAATGTGAGGAAGAAGTGAATGGTACATACAGTAAAGGACATATTTTAAGTAACATTCCAGTTGTAGCATGGAGGTCCAAATTGAACCAGCATGCTAAAATAATATCATTTAAGTCCATCTTTTTTCACAAAAAATGTTTTATATCAAAAAGAAATATTAAGATCCTATGATGTATTTGTTTTCCTACCAATGACCTGTAATACTTAAAGGTATAGAGGAGGATTTTTGCGAGTTTTTGAAAATACCAGCCCTCTCCACTTTAAAAAGAAAAATGCACATGCTCAGCCCTGTACCTGCTCCTGCTCCTGAGAGGGAACGCCTATTAAATGTGTGCAAGAGCGTGCACAAGCCCATTTCTCCTCGTGCAAGCTCTTTTTAAAAGTTGCTGTATGCATTGCAAGCTTGTTTTCCAAAAGAAGATTTGCAATTTTTCCACTATGTCAGACTCTTCACCTGTGAGTGAAAATGGGGAAGAGGACGTAGGGCGGCCATCGTAAACATATGATCAGAAAGATTGACAATTAGGAAGACCACTTATTTGATGATCCACCTGGGAAAAACATCATCTTCTTCTATGCATTTAATATTTTGACCTGTACTGAAGTTGCTTTACTGGTTTGTGTCTTTGCTTTAGTCCACCATCGACAGCCATGACTCTGGGAATCCAACCGCGTGAGGCAGAGGGTCTCCTTGAGGACAGGAAAGGAGGCGACATGCATACATCACACTCAGTGACCGGTACTGGACATAATCACCCAATGAAAGACAAGATTTTCTTTGCATTAAAATAGAATCATGATAAGTAATTCGTTGTTCTTTTAGCAACTCCAACAAAGTCAGCATCAGTGCCAGAGGAGCTGATTGCGTTTTGCAGCTCAAGAACATCCAGCTATGCAAGTCAGCTCTCGAAACTTTCAGGTACCATAACAGCGATCCATGTTTCCTTGTTTTAAAGAGCAACATTCATGAGTTTTAATAGCAACTTATATTCTTACAGGTTATAGTTCAAATCATTCAAGTCTAACAGATCTGAGCCACAGACGAAGTGCTTCTGGAGGCTCTACCTCCACAGGCATCGGCAGCATCGATCCCAGTGACCAGCTGGGGGAGAGGGGAGAGAAAGAAAGCAGGAGCACGCCCCCTTCAACTGGCTCTCCAACTTGCTGTTCTACAGGTGAAAAAATGTCCACGCCCAACAGGACTTTCAGGTAAGACACATTGCTTATACCCCTTGTAAATAGATCTGTAACTAACATAGTCAGTTTACATACATCTGATCATAATTCTGTCGCATTCTGTGTGCTTTAAAAATGTAGAACACCTTTAAAACTTATGCTGTATGGAAAGCCTATATGCTGTTATTAACTGCAAATGTTCTTTTCTTCTTAGGCATCCTGTAAAACAGAACTCAGTGGAGAATCAGCTAAAGAGAGTTGATGCTACACGGGTAGACGCTTATGATATCATAGAGAAAATCCTGCAGGGCCAGGATTTCAGCCATGGCTTCTTGGATTCCAGTGCAGAGGGTGTGTATCTCTAATCCTGGTGTGGAAAATAGCTGAGCATCTTACTGCTGCGATCAAATTACTTTGAGCTGTTGACGTGCTGTGTCTCCACACACTCCAGGCAAAGATTGCAACACTTTATGGCTGTTTATCCCACGTTTATTTATTTGGTCTTTGACAAATCCGGAAAATGATCAGTTGAGCTGATATATGTTGAAAGATTCTCATCATTCTTACTTTTAATGTGAATGTGTTGCTACAGAGGAGGGGCTCAGCTTGTTTGTTGGACCCGGTGGGAGCACGGCTTTGGGAAGTCAACACATGAGGTGGGTGTGGTTATGTAACTGTGGACCGTGGCTGCCAAACACAGGCTATTTACTGTAAATATGAGAAAACGCAACTATGTCAGATAAGGGATCTTATATGGAAAGATTGCATCTAAAACATCTGAATTAATCTTTTGATGTTTGATGTGTAAAACATGCATGATAATCATTTTTTATATTTCACAGCATGATAGGTTTTCATGAAAAAGAATGCCACTTAGTCAGATCAGATAACGGCCCTCATTTCCAGCAAAGTAACCCAATGTAATATTCTTTTCCAGGGTCGTAACAGGAGCCTTTGAGCAGGTGGTCATCAAGCGGTAGGCTTTAATAGGAATTTGTCTTAAACGAGAGGAACTACCTCTCTGGAGCAATGCAGGTGCCAAACGAACTTACTCCTACTTACTCCTATCTGACTTTAGGAGGTTTTATTTCCCTTATGCAACATTTCCCGGTATGACCCCTGCAGGATCTGCTGGCTGTGAAAGCCCCCTGCTGTTCAAAACATGAAACTGAACAACATTATTAAAACTTTTTTTGCACCGATAACGGATTCTTTGTACTCTGTGAGGACACTCTGTACAAACTGTCAGCATTTAGCTCTCTGATAAAACCTCAAACAACAAAGATGTTTCTCAAATGCACGTCCATCTACCTTGATTTAACAGCAATATTGTTTCGGTTTCAGTGAGCTGTCAATCTCTCTGCACTGTACTGAGAGACTCTAATGTAGCATTAAGTCTTATTTTTAGCTCTTTGATTTAAAAAAAGAAAAGAAGAAAGCTTTGAAAGGGTGTAACTGTCAGAGATTCACAATGTTTTATACATAATGTTTCAATATGTTGATTTTTTGTTTTCTTCATAATAATTTCTAAAGGAAAGTGAATGAAAAACATTGTGTGCTCCTTTGGTTTTTTAGCCATAAGGCATACAAAACTGACAGTGAGATCCTTATTTACATGTATTGCACTATAGATACTTAAGAATAGCTCAGCCAAATAAAGCTGAATATCTCTCACCTGGTAGTGAATGAGGATGAAAAAACTGTAAAGATAACCAAACTGTTTTTGTTTCCTTTTTTTTTGTCATGCAGAAATATATGTGTTCATTATCTATAATAATGTGTATTTATGTTGGTTTGTTTTAGTACAGAAATGTATGTGATTGTTTTAAATACACTAGAGCTGAATGTATATGTTGATTAAAAAAAAAAAAAAAACACATGTCTGTAATTTATTCCATACTGTTTGTAAAGTTTGGCCCTACATTTCTGTAAAATCTTTTAAAATTAATTAAAATCAATTTCGATACAGTTTTTTCCCCTTAAAAACAACTTGTTGTCTTCTCTTTATTTACTTGCCAAAAACAATCTTATCATGGAGTCACACGAGGCATTAAATAGGGTTATTTTAAGTGAGTTGTTGTATTTAATTTTAGTTATATATTTTTTTTAGGTTTTTAATCATAATCCTCCTCTTTAATTGCTTACATTTTCAAACTATTGATAAGAACAGAACATTGCAGGGATTTCAAGAAACTGGGCTACAAACAGAGGAAGGATTGCCAAACAGAATCGCTTCAATGAGCTCTGCCATGCATGTGTTTACAGTACTACCCATATTACAGTATCTAACACATGTATGTTTGCCTCTCACATTTTTGTAAAAATTTTATATATTTTATATCTTCAGATATACCACTTTGCTAAACTATACATTTGTCAGTTTACAGCTTGTATAACTGTAAATGTTTTTTTCTACAGTTAAACACTAATATATAAATATAACCCACAGTGATATTTTTAGATATACTTTTATTTTCGCTAGGTTGAAAAGAGTTTTTTTTTTTTTTTTATCATTTGAACATTTCACCAATATATAAACAACCCTTAGAAGAAAAGCTTTCTGTTTTTCTTTGTTCAAAATGTAAAGAATTAAAATAAAATGGTTATTCTTTAAAAAAAATAAATTTAAAAAGTGTTTTTAAGGCCATGTTTTTAATCTCAAAACAAATTATCAAGCTGGATTGAGTGCAAAATGGCTCTATGGATTGTAAAAACTGCAGACCCCTGGCCTGTAGGTCAGAATCGCTCAAAAATCCCTCCTACTGAACAGCTGATCACCTGAGTTTATGTTGGCATGTCATTATGCTTAGCAAGGTTAGGATTTTTTCCCTTTAATTTAGAAAATATAGTATAAATAATACTCAGTCGTAATCCATACTTTTTCTGACTGTGTTTAAAAAAATAAAAATAAAAACAAAATGGAAAATCACTAAAATGACTGGTTGTTACCTTGGGATAGGAATAGGAAGATTTAATAGAGAATACATCATTGGAAAAACAAAACCATGTTCTGTTTCAGAAAAACTATAAAATGTTCAACATAAATACTGAGTTGATTTCATACAAAAATTTAATTGGGAACGTATTTGATGTCTTGAAAAACAATAAATTATGTTATATCTCTGTAAATAGGCTTTAATTACGCAGTTTGTGTTTACATGCTTTCATTTTTTAGTAGCATGCATTTGTAAAGCCTACCGGAAATACGTAGTAAAGAAGCTTTTATTTTTTAAATCCGGTGAAAACGTAACTGACGTTACAAGCTGTAGTTTACTGCACCATTCACGGTACATTTCCGGTTTCACCTCCTAGTAGCACTTTAGCTAATACGGCGGCGGGAAAGTCGCTGATACTATCTTTAATTCTAGCTTAACAAGAAATCGAGAGGGGGACATTTTAAAAGGAACGACGAGCCTTGCTTATAATTGATGGCTCAATAGTCGTACATACGCTAACCGTAAACAAAGTTTCACCGTGTGGGATTCAGCTAACATGGCTAACGTCGGCAACCAGCTACCAACGCAGGCCGTTAGCAAACCTCCGTCAGGGAAACATGGGAACGTATTGCCCCTGTGGGGCAACGAAAAGACTATGAACCTCAATCCAATGATTCTTACGAATGTGCTTTCTTCGCCGTATTTCAAAGTCCAGCTGTATGAGTTAAAGACCTACCATGAAGTCGTGGACGAAATCTATTTCAAGGTAACGTCAACGTCGGCTAATGCTAAGCCGCATGCTAGTTAGGTAACCATACCCGCTCGGTGATGCATTCATTGTGAAATATACAGTAGGCAATGTGTTATTTAACAAACAGGAGTCAGATTAAGAGGTTTAACGTTTTTTTTTTTTTGTAATAGGTGTTAGATAGCCTGCTGTTCTTATATTTTAAGTGTGTGTAAACGACACACTCAAAGTATAGTAGTATTTCTGCATACGATGTAATTACGACCCTGTTATAAAGTATTATTTATAAACAAACCAAGTTCTACCTTACCTAAGTTTGCCTAATACCACTGTTGACCCACAATATTGAGTGTGTTTTTTAATTAGAGCTGGATCTCTGGGTGAATTCTGTTGTTATTCTAATTATGCATTTTAATTAAACTCTCAAGACACTTTTATTTTCCTATTAACAACTTTATTTTTTTTAAAAGCTCTTCTTGCAAGGTGTATATTGGTGACTCATAAATAACAAAATATGGATCCTTTTAATTATCATTTTTGTAAAAAAAAATAAATAAATAAGTTTTTTTTCACATAGGCATCATCACACACAGGAAATAATGTAAATACCTCAAAAATAATGATAAATGAAACAGTTGTGTGCTGAGCAGTTAAAGCATGTTTAATTACATATTTTCCATTGGCCATATATGGGACATCCCAGGGTCTAGTTTTCAACTACAGTGTCTGTTTAAACACACATTTTGATGGTGAAGTAAAGTGTTCAGCTAGATGGGGATTATTTTTCAGCAGAAATATAAATAGTTCTGTTTGTGCCTTTAGGTGACTCACATTGAGCCTTGGGAAAAGGGGAGCAGAAAGACTGCAGGCCAAACCGGAATGTGCGGAGGGGTAAGTGAGAAGTACGTGCTTTTTATATTCCCCACATTTTGCTTCGTCTTGTATTTCACATGAGGGAAGAAAAACAAAAAAGGTCTGACAAATTTGTTACGTTTATTTAAGGTTTGATGTCATTTATAAGTCAAATTGTATGTCCTGTAATATATTTGACAATGCTGAAAGGACTTTACAAAGGTAGCTGTTTTAAAAAAACATGCATTTTCAACCCTGTCCTTTTTTTTTTATCTCGCTAGGTGCGTGGAGTTGGCACTGGTGGCATTGTATCTACTGCTTTCTGTCTTCTTTACAAACTCTTTACTCTCAAACTAACACGCAAACAGGTGATGGGTCTTATCACTCACACAGACTCCCCGTACATCAGGGCACTTGGATTCATGTATATAAGGTATGAGTCTTAGCTTTGCTCACAGGTTACGTTGAATTGAACTAATCTTTTGTCATTACATCCCTTGTCAGCTCAAATTCTTTAAGTTCTATAAAACTACGGATAAAAACAAAACCATTGAGGAAAAAAATTTAACAAAACAAAAGTTGTAAAAAGCTTGATTTTGACTTGTGGGTTTGGTATTTGTGTTTCAGATATACGCAGCCTCCAACAGATTTATTAGATTGGTATAATGACTTCCTGGATGATGAGGAGGTATGTCACCCCGGGTAATAATTTAAATTTATTTTGTCTTTTAGTCCATCCTCAGTGAGATAATGTCCCTTTTAAAGCTAACTGTCCACCCCCTTATTGTGATGCTCATAGCTGATTTTTCACCTTTGCTTTCATTTGGCTTAATTTTGTTTCCTCCCCCCCCAACTTATGTTCCCTGAGCCTGAGTAGCTAGGTTACTTGCTCACTTCTCTGCTGCTGTTTATTTCCCAGGGTAAGTACAACAATGATGCAGAATAAATAAATTCAAATGAAAAAAATGCCTTTTTGTTTTATCTATATCTATTCGTATCAGGACTTGTTGCACAAAAGGAATTTGGAATATGTAGGACTATGTTAACTTGAAAACATTTAATGTTTAATAAAAAAATATATATATAAAAAAAAATATTTAATGAGTTTATGAGATTTATTAAGGCTAGTTTTTGGTTAGAAAAAGCAGAATCTGGTCCAAAGCTGTGCAACCAGGCCTTTCCATGTGTTGTTGCTTTTTATTTGAACTGCTCACTCCTTGAAGTCCTACCCAACATGTTAATTCCCCTGTTTTTTTCTTTAGATGCCCATTGTGCAGCAGGTGAATTGGAAATTGTATCTCAGCACTGTTGGTTTGCGTGAGTGCAAAGCAGCTGTTCTCTACCATATAAAATTCATATCTACTCATCTTGAGTCCAGTAAACCCCCCCTGCTATAATCTGTGCTTACACTGTGAGCAGTTTTTAATCCTCCAAGGTTCAAAATGCTTTTGGGAAACAACAAAAAGAAGCAGAGTCTTCTTTTTCTTTCTCCCTACAGCACATTAGCATTAGATTATTCCTTCCTTTTTGGGGAAAATCCTTTTTTTAGGAGGGGCCCTTTAAAAATGTGGTGAATTGTTATTAGAGCTCACACTGTTAATACAGACTACAGGAATTCTGACAGGTTAGATGAGTCAATTCTTGTTATGTTCATGTTTGTGTTTCCTCTGTTAAAGATAAATATCAAAGATTAAGCTAGATGAACAGAGGTGAAGGTTCAGTACTTGGTCATCACAAATATAATTTTGTTGTGAGTCATTATTTTAAAAGGAAACCTTTATGGTTTTTAGTTATGTGTGTTAACTCTTTGTTTTATATGTCTCCCCCCATCAATGTTTCATTATAGGAGCTTGATGTTAAAGCTGGTGGCGGCTGTGTTATGACCATTGGAGAGATGCTACGCTCCTTCATGACCAAATTGGAATGGTTCTCCACCCTGTTTCCCCGAATCCCAGTTCCTGTTCAAAAGGCCATTGATCAGCAGATGAAGGCTAGGCCACGCAAGGTGGTCCAGAAGGAACCGGAGGAGGAAGCAGAGTCAGAGAGACAAGGGGAACGACGAGGCTCCAGGTAGCTAGTTTTTTTTTTTTTTTTTTTTTTTTCCCCTCACCTTTAAAAACACATCCAACCTCCCCAAACAGCAATAGGAGCATAATCCTGATTAACTGAATGCACTGATAATGTTTTGAGATGGACTTTATCACTTAAAAACGCGTTAAAACTACTTTTCCAACTCATCAAAGTAAATAAGAGAGCCAATTTGTCTTAACTTTGTGCAGAAATTCTGTTGCTCTGCCTCATGGCACTGCTTACTAATGAGAAGTAGTCTT